ACTGGGCGGAGCTGAAGGAGAAGATTGCCCGGCACGGCGTGCGCAACAGTCTGCTGCTGGCGCCGATGCCCACCGCCTCGACGGCGCAGATTCTCGGCAACAATGAGTCCATTGAGCCGTACACGAATAACATCTACTCGCGACGGGTGCTCTCCGGCGAGTTTCAGGTAAGAGGGATTTGAGGTGTTTTTTGTTTTGATTTGTTTACTCATCGTTACTATCTTTCACCTCGTCGTCCAGGTCGTCAACCACCACCTGCTGCTCGACCTGACGGAGCGCGGCATCTGGAATGAGGAGCTGAAGAATGAGATCATCGCCGGCCACGGCTCGGTGCAGGGCATCGCCGAGATTCCCGAGGACATCAAGGCCCTCTACAAGACCGTCTGGGAGATTCCGCAGAAGGCGATTCTGGAGATGGCCGCCGACCGCGGGGCCTTCATCGACCAGTCGCAGTCGCTCAACGTGCACATTGCCGAGCCGACCATGGCGAAGATCACCTCGATGCACTTCTTTGGCTGGAAACTGGGCCTGAAGACGGGCATGTACTACCTGCGCACGAAGCCGGCGGCGCAGGCGATTCAGTTTACGGTGGACAAGACGAAGCTGCGCGCCAAGGTGGGCGCTGCTGGTGGTCAGGAAGTGGTGGCCATCACTTCGGAGGATTCAAGCTCGGTCAAGTCGCCGACGATGCTGAAGAACAAGCAGCCCACGCCGGAGGAGGTGCTCGCCTGTTCGCTGGCCAACAAGGAGGCCTGTCTGATGTGCAGCGGTTGAGGAGAGGTGGTGGTCATCACAACCAGGCAGAGAGAAGTGCCACTTTTACTTCAACTTTTATTATCTCCACTTTTACTACTTTACTTCCACCACTAATCACGAAGTCCTTAATTCTTATTCCTTACTGGGCAGTTTATCCCCCCTTCTCCTTCTCCCAGAGCACACTTCCTTTTTTCTTCTCATTTGATGCTTACCTCCTTTCTTGTGCGCTATTCTTATTCCTTTTTCCCCTTCTTATTATTACTTTGCAGCTTACTTCTTTACTGCTTCCTTTGATATATCCACACAGCAGTCATCACACATGCTATTTTTGCTAACCGATGCACATCAAATTCTTGGCTACCCAAACTTGCCAATTCAAATAAAGTACTTTTTACTAGCGGTGCCAGCATAAACTCAGTTTATGCAGTGCAGTACTTTTAAATTGGTGTCTGTGCGTAAATGCGTTGATAACAGAGGGGACAAATAGTGTGAGTTGTGTGAAAAGATTGCGTGGAAAGGGGTCGACTAAAGTCTCTAGGGGTGGTTCGAATTTCGAAATGAAGTTAAAAACTGCCATGTTCATTCGACAGACACTAGATGGCCGCAGGGGTTCCACAAAGTTTATTTTCCTGATATTCTGAACACGAGAAAAATAAAATTCACGGGCGATTTTTTGACGCCACTTACAAGATGGCGACGATGGTGGCGTTCCTAGCGGCCAACACTGGAAACTACTTGCTTTTAATGATTGATTTTGTACATCTTTTAAATAGACGTTTTTGGGCCTAGAACGTTGCAGAAAGCTCAAAATTGCTTTAAATGAAAACTAAAGACTTGTTGCACAATATGTGTGTAAAATAAATTGGTTTTGACAAGTTTTGATGAAGTAAAAGTAGTATTAAAAACTTTAAAACTAGATTTAAAAAGAAAAAACTTGTTAAAACCAGTTTATTTTACATACAAATTGTGCACCAAGTCTTTAGCTTTCATTTAAAACAACTCTGAGTTTTTTGTGACGTTCTAGGCCCATAAAATGCCTATTTAAAAAATGTGCAAAATCAATCATTAAAAGCGAGTAGTTTCCGATGTTGGCCGCTAGGAACGCCACCATCGTCGCCATCTTGTAAGTGGC